ATAAAATGTGTTCCGGTGTCGACAGGGGTAGCCCAAAATGCAGGAATATCGATCCTCTCATCCTGCATCTTACATCTTCAGTTGGTACCCCATATGGGAAAATATGAAAGGATTGAGCATAACCACCGCCGATTCGTAATAAAGCGGTCCTCCCAGGGAACCTTCCAGCTCCGTGAGAATTGTGTCGTGCTACTTGCAGATGACGCAGATGCGCTGGTTGTGGAATTCATCTCGCTCTCGAATCTCATCAAAGTTGTTCTGCTCATCCTCATCGTGCTGCTTCTACTCATAATTTTCAAATATCTGGCACTTGGGACTCTTTATTTGAGGACTCGCTGGCTCAAACGAAATGTGCAGCCATCGAAGACGCAGGTAAAAAAACTTCAGCGCTCGCTGACCGAGGGATTGCCATTTTACAGAAGAAACAATTTTGCACCGAGAAGCATCTTTTTCAATGAGCAGCGTAGCCACGGTAGCAGAGAATTTTTCTTCCTTTAAAAGATCATACTGATAAAAACGATAAATACATTATATAAGAGATGGCGCGCATACATCTAACAGCTAATGAATGTTGACTGGAGGTAAGCCGTATCAAGATTGAAGGATCTGGCATAACGGATTATACCAGTAGTATCACTGATCCAGCTGTTAGCTCCAGTGCTCTTATATTTCTCGTGATATATATTATCTTGGTTTATCTTTTAGAGTTACAAGGTCGATAAATTAGTGGCAACGCCAGCTAGGGTCAAATTCATGCGCTAGTCGATGGCTTTAAGCTCAGCTGTGGAAGAACCACACTCCGTTAGGTTGAGAGTGAATGGATATGTGGAAGTCAAATCATCAAGCCGACAGCACGGGTTCTCTCCACATTGATAATCCGAAGTATCTTGGTAATAATCCTGGAACGTAGTTAGGCATAGAACAGTGGGAATTTCCCATGAAATTATAATTTGCACAAATTTTTTACGGCAAAAGGTCATCTCATAACAAGTCTAATACTAACTTCCTGGTACGCTGGCTATTTTCAGTTCTTCATCCTAGCGGTGCCGATAAAAATGGACAGACCGAAGAAGGAAATCGGGACGTTCAAAAAGCGATACGACAATGTGGAAGCAGCATTCCAGCTGCATACGGCACAGGATGGACAGTTCTTGCTGAAACCGCTCGATAAGGCACAAACGTTCGAAACCACCGAATTTGCCAGCAGCAGGGGGGATTAATTTTTGACCTAAGGCCGAAGGGGCCGAATGGTACGTAGAACTTAAGAAGGGTTCATCTGATATTATGCTGTGGTACCATCCCTGTCTATACGGATTTGTGATGTAGCTTAATAACGGAGGCACTGTGAAGTATTATTCAGTGCGCGTCCTGCCTCAAGCGGGTTTTTTGCCACGTTGATAT